TCTCTCTCTCTCTCTCTCTCTCTCTCTCTCTCTCTCTCTCTCTCTCTCTCTCTCTCTCTCTCTCTCTCTCTCTCTCTCTCTCTCTCTCTTCTTTGGTCTCCCTCCGAGTCTTCCCTCCTCCATGCATGCTCATCCCTTTCCTCCCTCCTCCTCCATGCATGCTCATCCCTTTCCTTCCTCCTACTCCATCCATGCCCGCCATGCTCCCTCCAGCCTCCATCCTCAGAGGTGAGGCGCTACCCCGGCCCTGTGCGCCAAAACCTTGGCGGGACATCCCCCCAGACGATGCTGCTGCTCCTCCAACCCGCTCCTCCCGCTCCTCTCTCCCACTCCTCCTCCGCCAAACAACGTGACAAAGATCATGCGCCTGGCCCCCGGCCAGCGAGACATCCGCCCTGCTCCGTGCTACCACTGCGATTGCCTCCGGAACGGAAAACGAACCACTGTGCTTGGCGCGGCACCAATTTTCCCTGGTGGCCGGAGTGCCCCACGGCAACGATTTTCCCTGCCACCACGCGCTTTGCTCCCGCTGCGGCCTGCAGACGAAGCAGTGCACTTTACCCCTGGGCCATCATCGACAGCTCGCTGCTGAGCGGCACCGAATTTCCCTGGCGCTGGGACTGCCGCATGGCACCGATTTGGGCTGGGGACGTCTCCCCGGCCCCGTGCTACCACTGCGCTTGCCTCCGGAATGGAAAATGAACCGCTGCGCTTGGCGCGGCACCAAATTTCCCTGGTGGCGGGAGTGCCCCGCGGCAACGATTTTCCTTGCCACCACACGCTTCGCTCCCGCTGCGGCCTGCGGACGAAGCAGTGCACTTGACCCCTGGGCCCGCATCGACACCTTGCTGCCCCGCGGCACCGAATTTTCCTGGCGCTGGGACTGAAACACTGCACCGATTTTCCTTGGGCCCGCTGGGAAGCGTCACACCGGGCCCTTTGCAGGTTTTAATAGTATAGAGAAGCGATAGAGATAGAGATAGAGATAGAGAAGAGAAGAGACAGAGAGAGAGAGAGAGAGAGAGATAGACATAGTACCTGAACTCCAAATCTGACCTATAGTATCACACAGAAATTGAAAAAGGCACCTCCAGTCTTCCTCAGACTGTCTCAGCCTTAAATGCAACCCTTCCTCGCACAGTGTCACAGCTTTCAATGCAACCCTTGTAGATTCATAAGGATGTAGCTGCCAGAACACGACAATCAAGAACAATCAGGTCATCATGAGCTTTGGGACCTGCTACGCCCCAACTTTATGCCATGATCAACTGTGTAGGGGGCAATCCCTCATCAGATAAAGGAGGCGTCTCTTAGCTCTGTCCTGACTCGATGCATAACCTTCATTGATGTTCGGGATCGGTTTATTTACAAACAGAGACGTTCTGCCAGGGGTACCGGGGGTGCAATGGTGGGTGGCGGGCACCCATGCAGGTCGCCCAGCCGATTGCCACTTGGGGTACCCTGGGCAAGCGAAAACTCCTGGAATTTCTTCTTTTTTTATCCCAGTGGGGCTTTTCTGCACCCTCGGAAAGCAGCCCAAATCGAGACTCCTCGTTGTTTTTCAGTTTTGTCCATTGTTGGGGGAAAGGGGGGCATAAATGGGGCTTAAGCCTTAACGGGCTTTAAAGGCCGTTGTATCGTTGATCCAATAAGGAATTCTCATGTGACCCTCACTAAAAAACTGTTTGCATTGCAATTCTATAGTTCTTTCTTTTTTTCCTGAACTTCTTTTTTTAAGTTTGTGCAGGGGCCGTGCGGGACCTTGCCCAGGGGTCCTCCCCAGGCACACCATTTGTGCTTGGGCACACAGAAAAACAGCCTAACAGTGTGCAACACAGCTTGATTTTCAGCATGAATTTGTCAATCAAGATGAATCAATCAATGGAATTCGCCAATTCATTGAACTAGCCAATCAACAAAGATGCCACATCATACCTTAATCTTCTGACCTACAAAGAGCTTCCCCTTTCGCAAGTGGCGTGAAAGCGCTGCATCCAGCTGAGCGGTTATCCAGTACCTACCAATGTCCAAAGAGCATGTTCACCACGGAAGCAACGAATTGCATGCTGTCGTTACTAGCTCATTCAGATCAGACTGCCCCAACTGATTGCCAACTGTGTGCATAGTACCATATGTCTCATTTGCAGTAATATGTACAGATTCCGTTTTTCCCGATTACTATGCAAGGAAATGAGCAATCCGAAGAACAATGAACCAAATTGCCACACCTCACGGACGACCAGATATCATTGAGCTGAAACTGAAAGGAGAATGCAAAGTGAGATCACACCCAATAGGAACGAGCAAAGCATTAAAGTCCTGCGATAATGAAAGACCTCCTGATGCCTCCAATCACCAATGCAACAACAATGTAGCTCCATAACAGCGGCTATCTGCCAAGGCCCAAGAGCACTGACAGACGCTCCTATCAACCTAGCCTACAATGCTACAGCAGGTTCCACGCAAAGTCCGACCAATGCGGCTTGAAGACTGATTGAACAGCCTGCCTTCATCGTCACCACGTATGAGGCTCGTCACACTGCCCTCATCTCCTTCTCCTTTCCTACAGCCCTTCTCCTTCCAGGACCTCCGCTCCTCCGCTATCACTCAGCTATGGCGAGCACCGCTTGGCTATGGCTGCCTCACTGTTGCATACTGTAACGTGCAGACCAGAACAAGAACCGCCCTCTCAATACAAAGTACAAGATAACACATCGGAAGACTTAGATATGAATGATCCGAACAATCAATATTGCAATGCAGCCCTGAACACACATC